GAAAGGAACAACACCCCCCTCTCCGCCTCAAACTCCAAGAAGTTGACTACCGCTCGCGCTCAGCTCAAGTCGCGCATTACGAAACACAACAAGCGCGCTACAGAGCTTCTAGGTCGCCGTTCGGACATCGAAGAGTACCAGTTTGTCGATGACGCCTTGTTCACGGCTGGCGTCCGACTTACGGACCTCATGACGGAGGAGGAATGGGACACTGGCTCATCCCGAGCGTCCCGAGATCCCAGCCAACGCCATCCCGAGTTTTACGGTCTCGACTTGGCCTCGTCACGTCCAATGCCTTTACAATCGGAGCGTGAATCGCTGGCTGGCGCTTACGAAATCGCCTTGCTCATATCCTGGATGCAGCATCTCTTGCACGAGATTTGTATGAGCCTAGTTGTTCAAGTCGAGATCTTCCGGAGGACTATTCGGCGGACTCCCGGCGGCAAAGGCTTATCGCAGAGAGAGAAGGCGGTCACCTCCGTCAACTTGCGCGAGCAGTACCAGTCCGTCCGTCTCTACGCCCAGCAATACAACGTGTTTTACGACAAGGTTAAGCTCATGAAGGCCGCCCCGGGGGTCACGCAGCATCCAGAGTACCTGGCCAAGCAACAGAGGTCGTTCGGTCGATATAGAAGACTTACAAAGGATGATATCAAGAGCGACTGGAAGGCCTACGATACTATGGGCAACGGCACGTTCAAGCTCCCGTGGTTTTGGAAGCTCAACGCTCGGGACCCGGATATCTCAGACGAGAACTTCATTCAAGACTGTGAGTCGCAAGTGCACACCCACCCACATAAGATTTAACATACCCGATCAGTCTTTCGGATTCGATGGATCAATGCTCGCGCTGCGGTTGACCGTAGCAATGAAGAACTAGGGATCTTGCGTGTTGAAATGGGCCTGGTATACAGAGGCTATCGGGGATTGGCAGACGTGTGGGAAAAGAGAGGCCGACTACTGGAAGGTATTGCCGGTCGTGAAACTCATGCAATGCTAGCCTTTGAAAAAGAGGAGGTATGGACTGAGTACGCCATCCGGGCGCGGCACGAGTTCAATTTATTGGTCCCTGGCGTCATAGATTCACATGTTTTCCCTGACTGAGCACGCTTACAACAGTGTTATATCAATGTGATTTTCTTGTGACTGCATATATGATACACGGCGAACAGGATATCTAATTACTGGGAGTTGGGCCCTTGCGGCGGAGATCGTGAGACAGAGCAGTCGGGACGTCTCGGGCACCTCGGGACATTGCGAAAGGTCGGGACGTTGCGAAGAGTTCGGGACGCCTCGGGGAGGTCGGGTCGAGCCTACATCGTGAGTCGGGTCACCTCGTCTAGTGTCGAATGCTTTAGCGGAGGATTACGAACAATATCTTAAAACGGACGTCGTGCCGTACGAGACGTAGGAGCCGATATTCCGCCTAATGACTGTATCGCCGAGTGCGCTGCTGCCCACTCTCGCACGGATTCTTGCGTGTCTTCTGCTGCAGCTGCGACATACTGATCCGTATGATCCAACTGATCCTCTATGGTATTACCAAGCTCTTGTACGTCGACCAGTACACGCTGCACCTGCGCGCGAATATTTGTTTCGCGTATCTGTAACCGTAATGTGTTAGCGTGCGGCTCCCGACGGATCCCGAACGTCCCGAGGGGTGGATTCAATGGCTTACGTTGGTGGCAATATAAGTCGACAGGTTGAAGACGGGCGCAAAGTCAGTTTCCCACCAGCACGGAAACGGAAGGTGTGCGGAACGATCGCTGTGAACATACAGTCCACGGAAGTGCTGTCCAGCCTTCCTGACCCTAATCCATGTCACGGAGTTGGACGACGTAAAGCCAGTGAACAACTCCCGAAGGAGTCTGTCGTTAACGGCAGGTCGCGCAGTGCCGTTTAACAAAGCGTCCCCCAGAACATCGAAGGTAAACGTCTGCCGGCCATCAGAACAAGTCGGGACGTCAGTACTCCCCGACGCACCAGTTCAGAACGCAGATTTTCGTGATACACCGGGTCATCAGGCCAATCGTCTCGGGTCTGTCGGGGCCTACGTCTTGTCTCAAAGCGGTCCAGTATCTTGCACATACGGTGCTGCATGTTGATCAGGAACTGCGCAAGGGCCTCGGTCGGGAGGGTGACGTTTTCCCCGCGCGAGAGGGACATGACTGTCGATGGACAAGTCGTCTGTGGTAGTTCGCGCGCTGACTCTGACTCAGGCTATCATGTGATTCTCCAACAACGTTCTCAGCATCACTCCGATAGGTGATCGACTTCTCATCCCGAACCACCATCATGCCCACCGATCTCGAGTGGCACAATTCTGAACTGGACCGTAAATGGGCGTACTGGGGCTCAATAACGCGTATGGACATGATTAGCCAGTACATACGCAATCACTGTGAGGAGCCTGGGGGCGGATTGTGGAAGATTGAGGAATCAATCTTCAGGGCGGGTGTGGGTCTTGAAGCGGTGCGTTATCGGTTCTTTCACAGTGGTATACTACTAATTGAGCACTTCGCAGCTTCACATGGCGCGTATATCTGCTTGGGCCTGTCTCCGCGGCGTCCCGACGCATCCCGAGGTATCCCGACTGTACCAGCGTCTCCTTGCCGGGAGCGAGGGAATGTATACGATCGACGAGCTGCTCTTCTCTCGCGCGGAGTTAGAGCAGTGTCAGTACGATTGCGGACTTACAAGTGCAACGGACGTAATGGACATGAAGGACAAGTCGAAGGATTTCGACAAGGTATTTAAAGCTCCGCCTCGTTGGTGGATGATGATGGATCCCGAACATCCCGACGATGGCGCAAAACCTTTCCAGATGATCGACGACTTTCTGGCTTTACGGCGCGTCCGAGGGAAGCCGGTAAGCGTCACCGTCAGAGTCACATTGTGGCGGCTAATGATTGGACTCTAGGAAGCTTTGAATGGCGTCGACGAAGATGACGCTCGGGCTGTTCAACAAGTCCTCGAAGATGCTACACAGGTCTTGCAGGCATTGCGAATTGATCATGAAGATCAGCTGCAGTACCTCAACAAGATTCTAGCCATGGATGAGCGCGAACTGTTGGAACTCTACGTCGCCGCGTATCCCGACGGGGCTTTGACTGCCGACCAACGCGATACTCGGGACGGATTTGGGCTAGTCGGGGAGAATGTGATGCAGGCCGTTCTGGCGTCTGTGCCGCATACAACGTAGCTGATTACATACTTAAATTTCCTGTAGTCTGAATAGTACTTGCGCATAAAATATGAGCTGCCAGAGACCCTAGCACGGTAGGCTTCTAGACACGGCGCTTTGACGCTGAACGTCCCGACATCCCGATTTGTTCCCGACGCCCCCGATCATATCCCGACAGCATCCCGACGGCCCTCCAGCACTGGCGAAACACACAATTGTCATTCATGGACTACATACGCCGGCGTGCACGTATCTGACGGATAAGGAGTTCCTTTACGAGGGGAATAGTAGGTAGCCGGGGCATGTCAAGGCCCATTTCGAGCAGAACAGTCGGTTTCATATAGGCCGCCAACGCCAGGCGCTCGACATTCGGGGAAGCGGCAACCGAGTGCAGATGAGTGTGGCAGCTAGCCGCGACCATAGATCCCGATGTATACCTGGCGGAG